ACTGAGAGTGAGGACTGAGGTCTGGTTGGAGCTGTAACTCGGGAGGGAGGAGCCTCCCGGGAAGACGGCCTCGGCCTGCGGTTTCCACTTCCCGCTCGTCCAGAAGGTTCCGCTATGTTGCTGCTTGCACATGGGTGTGACGGGGTGCCCCCCGTTCTGTGGATGAGACGTGGCAGGCCGGGCTGGTAGGGCTGTGACGTCTGCAAAAAGGCTCTCAATGGAGAGTGGAGATTTGGGGAAATCTTAGAAACTGCATGCCTGCTGTCCACCAGGCCGGGACTCCAGGGGCTTCCTGGGACAGCCAGGCCCCCGGACCCTGCAGCTCGTGGCTGTGCCGTTCTCCCCCTGTTCCATCGTCTGTTTTTACCCCGCTTTGCATCTCGCACTGTGTCACCCAGCTGAATTGTTTAGAAATTATGCTTATGTTAATTATAATCTTTTTTCTGCTTTTCAGCTGAGGATTGTAAGTGAGTCAACTTTTCAAAATGTCACTTGCAGGAAGGAGGATCCCCTTTCCCCTCTAGAGTCAGTCTGTACCTTTAGCACCTGGCCCTTTAGACTTACATGTTGACATTTTAATCTGGTTGCTTCCTTTATTAAACAGAGGTCAGCCTGGGGACATGGCCAAGGGTGTCCGTGGGGCCAGGTCCTCCTGTCGCGCGGGCATGGAGTGCCTGCACACACTTTGTCCCTTGTGTTGGGGGCCGGCCTCCCTGTCCAGCCACCCTAGGATGCCGCCTGCGGCATCACCCTGCAGCCTGAGGGAGGCGCTGCTGAGCCACTGAGAGCTGCCAGCCCATCTCGTCCGGTCCCTGGTCAGTTCAGTTTTTGTCCTATCACTGAGTCTGTTTGCCACAAATGACTGTTTAGAGTTAATAGAAAGTGTTAGGTGAGATGTGACATTTTCAGAGGGTCCCTCGGTCCCCAGGTCCTCACTCAGGAAGTGCCACCCCAGCCTGGAGCAGGGACCCACCTGTCCTAAACGCACACGGTGGCCGGAGGTGGTTCCCGAAGCTCAGGCCCGAGCCTCAGCGCCCAGCTCTCCCAGCGCCAGCTGGGATCCACCCCCAAGCAGCACAGAGATGCGTCCTGAATTTGACCTGTAAACGTGAGCCCCGTCGCTGCGTGGGGGGGTCGAGTCCCGCCCCAGGACTTGGGGTGGCTTTCGCTTTCAACCCGGCAGGAGCATGCTTTGTGGTTCTACGTGACGTCAGACTCGTCTGTGCGGGGATTTGTTGCAGTGTGAATACGCTTTCAACTTCCTGTTGTTTTTGAAGAATTTTGTCGTCTTAAATCCCTCTTTCTCAAGTCAAGCTCTGGTCTCGAAGGGCCTGGGAAGGCCTGGCCTCTGACTCTCCTGGCGCCTGGCTCTGTCCCTCCGCATCACAGTACCTGGGGCGTGCCCCCCGCGCGGAGCCTCCACCCCAGCCCATCTCACCAGGCTCGCCGCCTGTCAGCCAGACACCAGAGTGGACGCAGGAGCAAACTGGGGCCAGCGAGGGGCGCCCTGTGCACGGGTGTCCACCTGCCTCTTCTGCCGAGATGATTTCAGGATCGTTAAGTACCCTTAGCCGCCCCGGTCTCGTCTCAGGATGGACTCTACCCTTGAGGTTTCTTTTGAATGGTGTCGTCCTTGTGTCAGGAGGCGCCCTGTGTGTTACTTCCAGAAATGGGGCTTGAATTTCGAGCAAGACGCCCAGTGGAAAGACTCCAGGACTTGAGAGTGCAGACCTGGCTGCACTTGCTTCGCAAAAGGTGCATCACGGGTGCTGGGAACGTCTCCGCGGGTTTTCTCGCCAGCTGCCTTGGGCTGGATGTCTCTTCTCTGGAGCCCGCGGGAGCTCCTTGTTAGGCCATCGCCTGGTCACAGGTGGTCTGACAGCTTCACGGGGTGCCTGGTTCTGATTCCCATGATGGTGGTAACATTTCTGAGGCACACTCATTTGGGAGTGTTGTCATTGACAACTGTAGAAGTCCCTCCCCTGGTCACACTGCACTGGGGGACCGTCACCCACTAGCATTTTTAGGGTGGTCGGCAGTGAGCCTTTGGACTGCGCTCTGCGATCTTGTGTCAGTGCTCACACTAGCAGGAGCCCCTCCTGGACCCCCTTGTTTCGCTGTGGCTGGAAACCGCTTCACTGTTTCACGGCAGTTCTCAGTTATGGGCCCCAGGCATCCTTCTTCAGAACCGTCCTTTCAGAATTTCACATGTGGCGGGACTCGTTCAGCTAATTCTTCATTTCTTTACACGCTTTTGAACATACATTGTTAATCTAAGCTAATTAAAGTTTTGGTTTTAAAATCCAGTGTTTTTTGAATTTTAAGTCTGTTTGTGTCCCCCCAAAATTTGTACGTCGACTCTCTGACCCCGTGTGGCTGTATTTGGAGGTGGGACCTGTAAGGAAGCCTCAGGTCTCTGCAGGGAGCTCGTGCTCCCTGGGTCCCGCAGCCTCGCCGTGCACACCTGGCTCAGCTGTGCCAGGTCCTGTGTTTGTGAGCCTGGGCCTGCCTGCCGCCTTCCGCTCACCTCCAGACACTGAGCGCGTCTGTCACCTGGGCCACTTCTCCCCGAGTCGCGGCCTCACGGGGCCCCTCCACCGGGGCCAGGCCTGCCGGCAGCCCAGGGCTTTGCAGAAGCACCGAGGCCCTCCTGTTGGCCTCGGAGGCCGGCGGGCCTGGACGCCCACGTCCGCGGGAAGCTGCTGCTCCTAGGCAGTTCCACGAAGGAGTCAGCTCAGACCGCTGTCTCATCTTCCCGGGTGCTGACAACAGGGAGTCATCTCTGGGGTCCAGTTCCCGTGGGGAAAGGAGCTGGGACGGGGCTGGCAGTTCTGTTAACGTGCTGACTGACTGGATCCGGGTGTTTGTAGCCCACGGAGGGAGGCCTGGCGAGCGTGAGACCCGGCACGGGGCAGCGGGTCCCCCGATTGTGTGGCCCTCCCCGAAGTGCGCTGCCTCCTGAGCCGCCGGGAGCCCCTGCCGGCTCGTCCTCTCGGCACAGCGAGGCCAGGCCCTGAGGACCTTTCCTTCCGGTTTTCCCCAAAGCACAACTGCTGTTCCGTTCACAGGTTCTCGCTGAGGTCTGGGGTTTGAACTTCCCTAACAGACGTCCTGATCATCCAAAAAATCCTCATCTTTAAGACTCCCCCAGCATTTTATTCTGAAAAATTGCGAAGAGTACATAGAGGTGGAGAGACTCTGCGTTGAGTCCGTGTTCCCGTGATGACCAGGTGCTCGTGGCGTGCAGCCCGCACTCGTCCTGACCCACTCCACGCGTGTCGGGAAGGTCAGAGCTCCACTCGGTGCGTCTGGCCCACGTCTCTTCTGCTTCACAGACCCCTCCCGGGTCTCCCTGGCGTGTGCTCTGCCCCCATCCCCACGTCGTGATGTGAGACGGGTCTGTGTTTCTCCTGCTTCCCTGAGCTCTGAGGCGCGTGCCCGTTGGTGCCGGGACCACCTTTATTTTTGAGCTGGCCGGCGCCCTCCCATGCCCCTCCTCTCCCGTCTCCCTCTCTGTCTCCTGAAGGGTCTTGCTTTCCCCATTTCTGGACTTTGTGCACGTCCCTGGGCCCCTCACCAGCGGCAGCTCCCCAGGTCTGCCTGGCACCAGCCCGTTCGGGGGCACTTCCGTGACCCAGGCGGTAGAGGTGGCTCCAGGTCCCTCCCAGACACTCCGTGTGGACCTGAGTGCAGAGCTGTCACAGACCCCTCTTCAGTTACACTTTATTCGTTAGTTTACTGCTTATTTGAGATATAATTCACACATCCTACAATCCACCCACTTAGAGCATGCTGTTCCCTAGCTTTTAGTGTATTCACGGAGTTGTGCGGCCATCACCCTGGTCGACCTTAGGACGTTTTCATCAGCCCAGAAGGAAACCTCGTACCCCTCAGCTTTCACCCCAGGACCCTTGTCTCCCCCAGCCCCTGGCACTCCCAGTCTCCTGCCTTTCTCGATTTGCCTCTTCCGGCATTTGGTGTGAGTGGAATCATACAATTTTTGTCCGTCTGTGTTGGCTTCTTCCACTGAACATAACGATTTCAAGGCGACCCACAGTGTCAGTGTGTCACCCCTTTTTGTGGCTGAGGAACACTCCTCTGCCTGGAGGGACCCACCCCCTTATCCATCGTTGTTCGGCTGCTGCACTTGCTGTCGGGAACGACGCTGCTGTGACCTTGCACAGACATGCTCTCAGGGTCCTCCTGCAGGTGGACTTGCCGCGGTGACTGCAGTCAGCCTTCCGACGCGCTGCCGGACTCTTCCACAGCGGCTGCGCCTCTGCACGTTCCTACCCGCCACGTAGGAGGCTCCGCCGTCTCCGCATCCTGCCCACGCTGGTTACCGGGGCTCATCGATGGCGGCAGTCTGGATGGGTGGGCGGAGGCGGGCTCGCGTGGTCTGGGTTGCACGGCCCCGGCGAGTGATGGTGAGCATCACTCACTGGCCATTTGTGTATCTGCTTTGGACAAACATCTGTTCGAGTCCTTTGCCCAAATTTGATTGGGGCATTTGTCTTTCTCTTGCCTTAGTCTGGACAGAGCCTCGTACCAGACGCGTGGTTTGCACACAGTTCCTCCTGCTCCGTGCTGTTTTCTCACATTGCCGCCAGTGTCCGTCGAGGCATATGAGGCTTTAATTGTGACAAGGTCCAAGCGACCTGTGTGAGTGCTTGTGCTTCTGGTGTCACATCTGAGGACCCGGGGCCCTGCTGAGGTCGTGGAGGCTTTCTGGCTCTTGCTTTAGGTCACTGACCCACCTTGAGTGCGGCCCCTCCTCTGAGGGGTGGGAACACTGTGGATACTGGAGCCGAGCCCCTTGTCCTGGACGGCAAGCCTGAGGCCTTGGCTCGGCTTCTCCACTGTCCTGGGACCTCGGCTTGGGGGACGGGGTCCAGCTTCACCACGAGCAGCTGGGCCTGGCTTCTCCCAGATCTGCCCATTTGCCGGTCGGAGAGTCTGAAGGGCCCTGCGAGTTCTCTGACGTGTGTCTCCCTCCCCAGGCGCTGACCTGACCGTCGCCGAAGCCAGCAGCTCGGACAGCCGCGGGGAGCGGCCGGAGCTCTACGCGCACATGGACGAGGGTCTCCTGGGCGGAGAAGCTGGCTACCTGGGCCCACCTCTCACCCCAGAGAAGGAGGACGCGCTGCACCAGGCCACCGCCGTGGCCAACCTGCGGGCAGCGCTCATGAGTAAGAACAGCTTGCTGTCCCTCAAGGCCGACGCGCTGGGGGAGGACGGCTCCCTGCTGCTGGAGTACCTGCCCAAGGGCGCCCACTCCCTGTCCCGTAAGTGCAGGCCCCGCTCGCGCTCGCGCTCGGGTTTGTGTGATTGTTGACAGGAGGGCCGGGCTCTGTCTGGCCAGGAGTGCCTGTGGGTTGGTGGGTCAAGGTTGCCTTCCAAGAGGAGGCAGCCAGTGTGGGGCTATCGGGGCACCAGGAGGGGGACGTTTCACACTTGAAATCGAGGCCTCTAACTCTCGACCCAGTGGAGCTGAGAAGTGCTCTGGTTGTGACAGGCCTGGGATGGGAACAGCTTGGGGACAGGGATGAGACTGGGACGGGCCGGGGACAGGCCGGGGCAGGCCTCACAAGTCAGGGCGGCAGGAGGGAAGGCGCGGGCGCCCTCTGCTGGCCCCCAGCCCCAGCCTTTGCCCCGACTCACTTTGCGTGGTGGGGTTGGGCAGGGTGCGTAGTCGCTGTTTCCAGCAGGTAGTTCTGGATACACTTGAGTTTTTTAAAAGGATTTGGGTGCTGTGTTTACACCTTAAATGTCTCCAGCTGAGTTTCAGTTGCCCAGAAGCGAATAACAGACTAACTCAGAAGCGGCTGAGCCTCCGACAGGCCGCCCAGGCCTCCTCCAGACAGGACGGGAAGGCCGTGGGCCCCCGGGTGCCGGCCTGAGAGGGGGCCTCTCCTGCTTGGCTCAGGGCTCTGCAGACCGCCTGTTCTGGGCGCCTGGGGGAGGTACTGACCGTGTCTGGCTGTCTGTCCAGAGAGAGACGCACTCTGCTGGGTTGGTGCATGTGAAGGAGCGCAGGTGTGGCCGTTTCCTCCTCAGGGCCAGGGGACGCACCCCCAAAGCAGGGGGCTCAATGCAGAGCTTGGGGGGCCACCCCAAGGCCCTGCAGCCCCAGCGCGTGTGGCTGGCGGGGCCTGGGTGACAGTGGGGATCCAGGCGTGGTTTCCTGGAAGGAAGCAGAGGAGAACCTGCAACCGTCTTTGGTGTCGGGGGTCTGGAAAGTGTATCTTTCATTTTTACTCTAATTTTAAAAACAATGTTTTCATGACTCTGTTTTCACGACCACTAAAATATCCGAAGTTTTGTGATGCAAGTTGCTTGTGGTCAATAAAGACTGGAAGTGGACAATGTGTTTCCATTCTCGTTATTCCCGAGTGCCAGCGCTGGGGCGGCTGCAGCGAGGCTGGGTCGGACTTGGCGGCCGACTGGCTCAAGGCTGTTTGGTGTTGGACACACTTTAACAGACGTGTTTGGGCCTCACTGTTTGCATCTGAGAAATGGGAATAGCGTCACTCACATGGTTGTGAATTTAAATCAAAATAGTATTTGTAGAACAAGGAACATGTAAGCAAATTGCGTCTGATAAACTCCCTCTTGGCTCGAATGCTGCTTGTCAGCAGAAACCACTGGCTGTTTGCTGGTCTGGTAAAGTCAGAGCGCTGGTTCTGGGGCGTTTGTGGCTTCTGGGGTTCAGCATAGGCAAGTCCACCCAGTGGCTGTCCAGGGGAGGCGCTGGCTGGGCAGGCTTTGTGGATCTTGGGTGGGGAGGTTGGGGGCCTCCAGCGCCTCCCCTGCGGGCTGGGACAGCCGTTCCGCCTGTCTCTGCCCTCGGTTCTGGGTGAAGCTGTGTGTCAGAGGCCCCGGGAGGGCGGCACCGGCCCCTCCGTTGCTGAACCACTGTGTTGTGGCGGGTGATTTCTTGGTGCTTCTGCCGTCCCGCGTCTGGCAGCCTCTGCCTTCCAAGTGGGCCTGTGTCTGTGTGGGAACCGCGCTTTGGGTGGGGCCAAGGTCCAGCTAGCCCGAAAACACTGATTTCACCTGGTCGGGCCAGCGGTCTGACCGCGGGGCTCTGGGACGTGGCACCAAGGGTCACAGGAGAGATGGCCTCCACTCCTCTGGGTTCCCCGTCACCCAGCAGAGACCCAGATCCCATCCTGGCACCAGGTGCAGTCACGGGAGTGGGTGGTGACCCCGTCGGGTGGTCCCCTCTGAGGGGGGTCACTGAATGCTGCGTGTCCCCTCGCTCTTGACATGGCAGTCAGGCAGCCACACCTGCCCCGGGCGTGGCCGAGGCTCTGCGCACACCTCCCTCCGCAGTTTGCGGGGAGCCCAGAGCTCGTGTGCTTTCAGTCCATCTGTGACTCCAGGGAAGCGAACTGCTGGGTTTTGGTATTTTGTCATTTCTAGGCTGTTCTAACCTCCGTGCTTTTGATCCTCTAAACCTCCCACTTTGTTGCTGTTGTTGATAGTTGCACCCTCGTGAAAGGGTTGGGAGGTTGGCAGAGTCCTTCGCTGGTGGCTGGGCAGTGCCTGGTGGGTGGGGCAGAGAGGCTGCCGGCCTTGCTGGAGGAATGGGTTGTTGTGGGACACGCTCTTCTCACATCGTCAGCTATCTGCCTGTTCGGGGCTTACACTAAAATGAGGAGTGGAAACACCCAGAAAAAAGCCTTATTTTCCAAGATTGTGTGGTTGACCCTCCCTGTGGCAGGTGGGTCCCTGGCGGCAGGCGGGGCTGGGAGATGCCCGCGGGGAGCCAGGATGGGGCCAGCGCTCCAGGCACCTGCCGCAGACACTTGCCCTGCAAGGCCCAGATTCCTGTGGCAGGTCCAGGGTCAGAGATGCCTTTGAGTCAGTCTGCTCCGTGTGGCTCGGTTCCCAGACTTCGGCTTCTGCGAACAGATGCGACAGACGTCAGCCCCTCAAGAGTTCCCCACGTCCACCCACTGCCAGCACTGTTTCCAGACGAGTCACAGTTTTCCATTCAGTTCAAGATGTTGTTAGGGGCCCGCCTGATGTGAGCGCCCCGATGGGGGGGCCCCCCTGGGTGCTGCCCGGCCGGGACGCGTGCCCCTGAGCCCCAGGCGACCAGCGGCCTGGGGAGCACAGGGGTGGTGTGTGCGCCGGGGACATGGAAGCAGGTTCAAAGAAAGAAAAGAGCCCCAGACCAGGTGCTACTGATGGCAAAGCAAGGATACTGCTGCCCGCTTCTTGCTGCCCAGGCTCCAGGAGGCAGCCCCCCGAGTGCCCTGGGAAGGAGACGGGGGCCTGTGCTGTGACGGTGGGTGACCCTCTCTCCTCACTGGGTTCGGGGGGTTGGGGGCGCTTCCTGACCGACCCCCAGGCTCCTGGAGCTGATTGTTGACAAGCTTCTTCCAGGGCCAAGCCCTTCATTTTGTAATTTTGGGGGTGCCCATCGGACCGACAGCACGACCGTGGCTCATGGTTGGAGAAGCGGGTAGGGCTCATCCCCGATGTGAGGTCTGTTGGGCGCAGGGTCCCCAAGGGCCTGCCTGGTCTTCTCGAGGGGGGCCTGTGGTGCCCCAGTATGGCCGGCCTGCAATTTTGCAGAAGAAAGGGGTGGTGGTTGCAGGTGTTTAAATTAAGAGCATCGTCGAATGCACAGGCAGTGCCAAGCAGAAACCCACAGCCAGTGCCCACGGGGCCTTTCTGGAGCTTCCTGTTCTTGTGGGTCTGACAACACTGACTTGCCAGCCAAGTTCCGCAGGTGGCCTTGTTCCTGGGCCATTGCTCTTTAACCGACTTCTCCATCAGAGGACTTTTGTACTTTTCATTTTGATTCGGCTTAACTTGGTTCTTTTACTTGTATCACGTCTGCAGCAGTAGGCTGGCTTCCTACCTGCTAAAAGTCACTGGTCACTGAGTAGAAACTGACAAGCACGTGCGTGGCTCAGAGCGTGGCTGTTCCCTGAGCTGTGTTTGGGGGTGTGTGTTAATCCAGAAGAGACCTTGAAAAATGCTGTGAGAACACAGGTAACTTTGATTTCAGGGGAATAAACTGGAGGTGAACCAGCTCACTCTGGTTACTGGGGTGGGGACACAGGGCGGCGCCGCCTCGTGGCCTCCCAGAAGCCCCGCACGTCCTGCACGTGTCGGCTGGGCGGTGTTGCCAGGGAGGAGCCAAGGTTCCTCCTGACTGTCTTGCGGGAAGGATGTGCGAGGCTCCCACCAGCTCCTCGGGGCCAGAACTCAGGCCTCGGGTGGCGGCGGGTGGGGTCTGGCTGGACCGGGGGCCGCCAGCAGTGTCCTTCCGCTGTTCTCGACGGTTCTCTGCGGGCTGACCCCGACGTTCAGGAGAGCAGCTGCAGCTGGGTTTTGTTTTGATTTTGGTATAAAGACTGTTTCCATGTGGTGCTTGGCAATGAATCAAAGACCTTGATCCTGGAGTCTTAGACCATCTCTTGTGAAAGGGCATCGATGGACACATTAGGCCTTTCAGGTAAATAGCCAGGCATACACAACCTGAAGCACCTTCCAGATGAGGCTCCCGGGAGGCGCAGCTGTGCGTGCGCCTCACACTCTCGTGTGGGTCTGACCTTCTGTGCCAGCCCGCCCTGTTGTGATCGTTTTGCTCCTGGGAGAGAGACCCCCACGCACGCAAGCTGCGCACGGAGACCCTGCATTTGGGAGTGGCGAGCTGATAAAAGTGCCCGGCACCCTCACCCAGCGAGACCCTGGCTGCATCGCACGGCAGCTCTGCTCACTGCAGGCCCGGCAGGGGCAGTGCTTCTGGAACTCTCTAGAGCCCAGCAGCCGGTGTCCGTTCACATGGGAGAGACTCGTTCCCTGTGTTCCAGGGCCTGGCGCCAGCCCGAGTCACCCTGGGGGGACGCTGGTCTGAGCAGAGGCGCCGCCCTCCAGCCCCTCCACTCTCGTCCACTCAGAGCCCACGAGGCTCGCTCTGGCGCACGGCCGGCCGGAGCCCAGGGAGCCACCCCCCCACCCAGGTAAGACGTGAGAGCGGCCGGCTGGGCAGCCTGGACCAGACACTCGTCCACTGCATGCGTCCCCGTGGGCACCGCGTGTCCTGAGCGAGCTCGGGGGCTGTGTGGAGCCTCTGTGGTAGTGGCCCCCCCCCAGCCACACCCACCCAGCCCGGTGTCACTCATGGTGACCCAAGCGCCCACTTTGCAGTGATAGTTGCTTCACCCTC